CAAAAAACTGAAGACCCAGAATTCAACTAGAAACAACAAGAGACGTTTAAACAGTTTATTAGAATATGACACTGATGCAGGTTCAGAGGGATACACCAGAGTTAGCAACCAGCATTTCTGGACAGAGACAGGACAGTTGAGTGACCAGCAAGAACCAGATTTAGTTTTTTTAGGTGAATTCACATGGTTCTCTGTTTAATGCTGAAAACTCTTTCAAAGCCAGGAGAGTCAAGAAACGGGACAGATGGATCCAGTGTTCAAGACGAGACAGCCAGTAGGAAAGTACAAAACTTTAATAATAAAACAGACTGAAACAGAAACAGAACAAAAGCGCAGAGCTGTGGACCGCAGCAGCTGCAAGGGCGGGGCGTCACCCATCACTGACACTCTCTGATTTAGCAGTTCAATTCATCCTCTGTGAGGAAGGCAGGATGCAGCCGAAGGAATGCTAAACGAACCGCGGCGCTGAGCCGTCCTGAGCGCAGCAGCTCCAGTGAGCTGGCAGGAATCCGACCCAGTTCAGGGAAACAGTTCAGAACAGGACCGTTCTAAAATCGATAGTCCATAGCCCAACAGGGGTTGCGATCCACACAAGAACAGACAGATCAAGGTCTCAAAGAATCCACAGAGCGTGAAGGCAGGTTAAGAGTTCCAATGAGTCCTGCAACGTGCCCAGAACAGAGACACTTAGATACAGCCAGGCTCAGTGGTTTAGGGACCGAGACAAGACATAGTATCAGAATTTCTGCAGAACTTTTCTGCATTTTGGTTGTGAATCCAACATAAAATTAATCTGTAGCCCCGATGTTGGTGAGACAAGTGGAGCAATGGCCGAGAGCAGTGGAGTGATGCCATGCTGCCTATGTAGTGGCAGTGGTAGCCATGCTACCTGTGTAGGGGCAGTGATAGCCATGCTACCTATGTAGGGGCAGTGATAGCCACGCTACCTATGTAGGGGCAGGGATAGCCATGCTACCTATGTAGGGGCAGTGATAGCCATGCTACCTATGTAGGGGCAGTGATTGCCATTCTACCTATGTAGGGGCAGTGGTAGCCATGCTAACTATGTAGGGGCAGTGATAGCATGGCTATCACTGTCCCTACATGGCCCCAGTCATGCTTACAAAAATTCCCCTTCTTTTTTTTTTTAACAACTCGACACCTGATTGTAGGTGCAGCTTCGTGTCCTCCATCAAACACTGTACATGGCGTTCTTGTTGCATTGGCCAGAAGCACTAAATCAACATGTTTTGAAACAGCCAATATTGTCCTAGCTGGGTTTCAAGACTCTGGAGTTTGACCTGGCTGTTATAAAACAGGAAGGATAATGAAACTATATAAAGCCTCCAGTTGTTAGCTTGATGAACAGAACAACTTTTTTCCTGTGGTTTTGTGTTTTCAGGTCAGAACACTACAGGTTAAATTGTATGCTGTCTCCATTGCATATTAACAGCCTTTCATCAAATTCTAAAGTCAGGATTTGATGTTTGTTGTTGCTTTCCTACAGGATCAGTCTGGGAAAATGGGGCTTTCATTTGTGGTTTTCCTGATCACTGGCTGGGCTGCATTCAGTGGTAACTCCTTCTCTGAAAGTTTCATTTGGTGCAAAAGCATTTCTGCTTGTGTCTTACTGTTCTGTTTTCATGCTGAAATATTTTTTTCCTAAGGGAGTCTGGCCATTAGAAGTGTGATCATCCCCAAGGAAAGCAGTACCAGCTATGTGGAGATGATCCCTCAGAAATCCCCCTTCACCCTCGGGGCTTTCACACTCTGCATGCGCGTGGCCACAGAGCTCACAGGAGCCAGAGAAATCATCCTGTTTGCATATCGAACCCAATACTTCGATGAGCTGAACCTTTGGCGAGAGAAGGACGGAAGGTAAAATGTTTATGTTCAAGCAGTTTAAAACGTTTCTCTGATCAGTAGTTAATGTGTATTTCTGTTTAGGCTATCCCTCTACCTGAGTACAGATCCAGTGTTCTTCCAAGTCCCCGAATTTGGCCCCCTGCAGAATCACCTGTGCTTGACCTGGAATTCCCAGTCTGGGGCAGCAGCCATCTTCATAAATGGCAGAAAGAGTCTGACCAAAATCTATCAGAAGGGTCACACTGTCCGCGCAGGAGGAAGGATTATATTGGGCCAAGATCCTGATACATTTCTGGGTGGTTTTGAGGCACACCAGAGTTTTGTCGGAGACATTTCTGATGTGAACATGTGGGACTCTGTCCTGTCAGATACAATGATCCAGAATCTGTTTAATGGGAGAAGGGAACAGGTACCAAATGTGCTTAACTGGGAAACTGTAGAACTTAGACAAGAGGGGGAGGTGCAGGTTATCAACGTTGATCCGTAGGTGGATTATTCTTACCTACAAAAAATATTCAATATGAAACAACCTTGTTTTTCCTTTCTTTAAGCAAATAAAATTCATCATAACATCTTTAAAAACAGTGTGAATTATTTCCTTTTTGAACAAGTGATCATTTTTCTCCTGAGAATGAGTGAAACAGTCAAGAATTCACCAAGGATCAAAGCTCTATACGCACTTCCACTTCTCCAAGAAACATGATAAATTTCATTTAAACTCATCTGAACTTGTTGTAGAGATAATGTTTTAAACTCAAGGTCCAAAAAATTCTATTTTTATAGCACCAATTTACAACATTTCTCATCTCCAGGCATTTAACAGATAAAATTAAATGAAATAATCAGAAATA